GCAGGGGCAATGTAAAAAGCTACCTCCTCCGGCTGGCGTTGTTGTCCTTTGACGCTGAGACCCCGGATGATACCCCGCAGCAACTGTTGAATTGTGCCGTCAACGAGTCCTGAATGTCAATCGATGTCCGATGGTTAACAAGTCAAGGCATGTGTACGCGCACGCCAGCCTACACTACTCACGCATGCCGACACTGCATCATACCTCGTTGTTGTGATGTTTCGAGCAGTCGGACCGAGCGTATGCCTGTAGCCTCACTCTATCAGCCTGGAAAAGGGATGTCCGCCGCTTAATCTCCCTGTCCAGCGCTATTCGATCTGCCCGCGGATGTGACCGCCTTGAGCTCAACATGTCCCACACGCTCAAGTCCCTCGGCAGAACGGAAGGGGACAATGACACGTGGGTCTGTCGCGACTCGCTGAGCTCGATGGATTAAGGCATAGATTGCATATGGCGAACATATTCTTCTCGGCAGACATCTGCATTTTCATTTGTTTTCAATGTAGCTCGTGGTACTGAGTTTAGCGGTTTATCAGAGATTTGTCATTGTTTCCACCCGAACCTATTCATGCATACGAGTGTTGTGGGATAAACTGGACGGACTGTCGATAAAGTGTGGTGGGAAAACAGTGGGACCTCGGCAGCTGACTTGACTGGGTAATGCAGTCGTGGCCCTGAGTGCTTGCCTCCGGTAGTAGTAGTAGTGCCAGAGTACGGTAACCAGGTGTGCAAGGTTTTCCACTCCATGTCGTGGGATCGAATCTAATACACACATGAGGCACTTGTAAGCGGTCCTCTTGCAAAGTTTTTCTGTAAATTCCTTAAAAGTCATGTGCTTTTGGATGCCAGCCCCGGCCAATCCTGCCAACTTGACAGCCAATTCGACACCCTGTCAGGCTAATTCGATACCCTGTCAGGCCAATTTGACACCCCGAACAGGTCAATTCGATACCCTGTCAGGCTAATTCAATACCCTGTTAGGCCAATTCGGCACCCGGACAGGCCAATTCGACACCCGGACAGGCCAATTCAGGCGCAGCACAGCCCAATTCCGAGGCTCCACAGCGCAATTCGAATACCTCCGGCGGGTCCGCCAGAACAATTCCAGACCTCGGCAGACCAATTCTTTCGTCAGGAATAAAATCCAGGCTAATTCTGCGACAGAGCTCTTCCCTAATTCCAGCCCGAATCCTACCCTCCTTCAAGTGTTACTGCATTTCTCTCAAGTAACGGTTAAATTTGCGACGACTTTACTAATGGCACCTTCTTTACGAACGCTTGATATCAAACATGAAGATTTTATTTTGGATGCTGTTGATATCGTCTTATCGCCGGAGAACTTGGCCAATACTTTGTTGGAATTCCGTCGTACTTTGTCGCGCATGTGGAGACTTCGGTGGGATAACGAGCATAAAGAAGCCTTTTGGAGGCTGGCTCTTGATGGTTTCCCTGCCTTTCCTATGCATAGGGCGCAACGTCAAAGAGGTATCCCGGCTGCTATGTGCCCCTGTGGTGTACGCATGCTTTGTGGGGATCGTCGGCATCATTTCTGGGATTGTACTGTCGCGTTGGCTCTTCGTGAAGCTCTGCAAAACGAACTTGAATTCCCTGACCTTTTCAACCGGGCTAACCTGTGGTTGGGCATTCCATTCCATTCCATTGTTCGTGTGTATGGGAGGTTGTATGCCTCGCGGCCATCAGCTCACTCAATCTCGGTCGCCGTTTGTTGTTTAAGGAAGGTCTCCAGACCAACATGCCTATATCAACGCCATCGCTTAACCGCATTACATACGAGGTTATCTCTGACTTTTGGGCCCGTTTAACTGCTTTTGCGGCACGGGATTACTTGCCAAAACATTGGGATCATGTACCTCACAATCACCCTTTCTTATATGTCAATGACGCAGACATGGTTGCTTGCCGTTTACCGATATACAATGACGAAGTTTGAGGGCGCACGTCGGAGCCTCAATTTTTTGTTTAAGCGTACTAACTGAGGCCGTGTGTCCAGTGAAGTTAGTACGGCCTGGCCGAGTTCTTTTTGAATAAGGCCCACAGTGTTGTGCGGGAGGCGTTCCTATGGGCGCTGCACTCGACCCGTTCGGGGTCCACTGTAACAATCGCATCCTCCCTTAAGCATCGGAATTGGGCGTTAGCGGCCTGTTCGCAGTATGTTATGCTAAAATGGTGAGACAGAAAATAAGCATTTTACTGTCAGGTTGCCGTATGCACTTATCACTCCATGTTGCAAACGTTTAACCAGAATCATTTCGGAGCCGTTTCGTACAACATTTACAGAACCCACAGTGCTTTCTGAAACTGACCTAACCTAATTTATTTCGTTAACATTCCGTTAGCCTCGCCTCGTTAGCCTGGCATAGGGCACGAAATCGGGCATTTCAATTTTTAACTCGTACTTCAAACGGAATCACGCAGCTAATTCAACCGCCTGTTTGCATGTATACTACAGTTCCGACCACGTCCCGTTAAATGAGCCAACTGCTAGCAGTCGCATTGGGAGAACTGGCGGTCGGATTTAGTTGCGCAGTCGTGGGGCAGGCCAGCAGCCGTCAATATCTTGCGACCGCAACATGCTTGCCAGGTTAAGGGCCAATTACCACAAAGCAAGTTTACGAATTCCATGTTCTGGAAAGGTTTACGCAAGGAAAGGCGGGCATCATACAGGGGCCGCAAACAGTGTGTTGTCCCGATGGCCAAGAGGGCCAGCCTTCCCAACCCGCTCTGCTACTGCTGCTCACGCACGGCCCTATACCAGAAATGACAACACAGGGAAAGGACGAAAAGATTTGTTTGCCGCAAACCGGGAACCTAGGAGCACTAGCAGTAGCGGTGTCAGCATTAGCAGCTACGACTTTGCAAATGAGGAGCGACTCCATCTGCGGCATTGTCGCCACTTCGTTAACCTAACAAACGGTATCGAGGCGCTGCCTATGCTACACGAGCTTCAACTGCCGTACAGGTACCTCAAACTTGCACATGCACAAGAGACACACACACGCTTCAATCCACTCGCCGAAGCCCCTATGGTGCTTAAAACCATCTCCCAGTCACTGAAGAACGAGAACTGTAAATGAATGAATCGCCGTAACACAATATATTTTTTTCTCGGTCACAGCTTCGTACGAATCCAGAGCACCGCCTGCGAGCAGCAAAACCTCGAGGTGCGTTTACGACCGCGGCTGCACGGGACATTCGACTCGGGAGGAGGGATTGGATCTCCAGCAGTTGATGTGCTACCTGCCATGGTGGTCTCGTGTGCACGTGTGCTGACTGTTTGACATGTAACACCCCGGGCACGTCTTCCTGCTCGCGGGAGGGGGAAAGGATGACCTTATTCTGCCCTATGGGAGTTCACCCTGTGTGCATGTATGCATGTCGTTCCTTCCTATTAACCCTTATTAACTCCTACCCCGTCCTCCACTCGCTTCTATGGGGGGAACTCGTAACCCCCTAAAACCCCCACCCTCGTCCAGTCACCTCATCTCCCGCCCTCCACATCTTAGGCGCTGATATCGGAGCTGGACCCCAACCTCCTCATCAATTTGGCACTGGGTCATTGGTACGAGGAATACATCGGGGGGGGGGAGGACTGGCAGCACGCTTGTGGGGGCTTGGGGGTGGGATGGGCGACGGGCATGAATGTGTTGGACATAGACAAGTATATAGACAAATATATGTGCGTACGGGCGTGGCTTGGATAGCCCGTAGCAAGGCTTTCCCCTCCTTGATTTGCCTCAAAGACGCCTGTACGTGCCATCATCTTCATTTCTTTGGGCCCCCACCTCCTACTCCGGTTCACCCCCCTCTCTTCCCCCCCGGCGTCTGGCGTGGTGCAGCTGCCTGGTGTACGACTGCGGCAGTCGCGGCCGGAACGGCACCCCGCGCGCCTTGTGGTACGGACTGGAGTTTGTGCGGTACACTTTGTCAAAGGTACGTGTGAGCAGGTGGTTTGCTTGGCTGCAGCTCCAAGCGTGGCGGTTACGGCTGGCTTCGTTCGGTCTGATGGCCTTATTTCCCTTCAACCCCCTCCAGGACCTCCCTTGACCTGTTTGTCCGTGTGTCTTTTTGTCCGTGTGCTTGTCTGTGTGTCTGTCTGTCTGTCTGCCTGCCTCCGTTCCAAGTTTTCCCCCCTCGTTCCACCCCCGCAGCTGTGGCTCCGACGTCCCTGTCCCGCACTACTCCGCGGCAAGAACGTGGCGGCCCAGTTCGACCAACACATCCGGGCCTTCCGACAGAGCACCACCCGCCGAATCAAAGTGAGTCGCAAACCTGTGTGGATGAGATCCCGGGGGGGAGGGAGAAGGAGTTTTGGAGGCGGGGAGGGGGGGGGAGGGGGACAAGGTTACGGGGGAGAGGCCGGCGGTACGGCTGGTGGGGCTCTGCTCAGGTGGCCAGGGAAGGGGGACGGTGGTAAACCGCATCGCCACCATCGCCACCATCGCCACCATCACCACCATCACCACCACCACCACCACCATGGCGGCCCCTCACAACTTCGCCTGCAGTATTATGCGAAGTACCTGCCTCGAGAAGGGCCTTATCCTCTGGGGGAGGTTACAGAAGGAAATCTGCCTGGTGTCGGTGGCGCTGCTACTGCTACTGCTACTGGTGTTAGTGACGTTGGCGTGGGCGGCGACGAAGGAAGGGGCGCGGGAGGAGGATGCGGGCTGCAGCGCCTGCGTCTGTACGGCGTTTATCGTCCCACCGACCACGACGACGACGTATCGTACTATGTACGATTGTTGTACAATTACCAGCTGCTGCAACCCCTACGCTCCCACGACGAAGAGCGGCGTCTCGAACTTCCTGGGCTGGATCCTAAGTTGCAGGAGGAAGAGGAGGAGGAGGAGGAGGGGGAGGGGAAAGAGGAGAAGCGGCAGCAGGAGGAGGAGAAAGATGACGGCGGCGAGGAGCAGAAGCAGGGCCGATTACTAGGGAAGGGAAATGCGGCCATCGCAAGCTGCAGCAGAGATATGTACAACAGCGGTAACCATGCAGATGCGATAGGGGTTGCGGCGGAGGAAATGTCTGGGCGACGACGTGTGGGGCCGCGAAGAAAAACGACTGCTTCGGGACTCATGTGTGGCGAAACAGAGATGACATCTTGTGGTATGGTTGGCGGGCATGTTGCGTACGGCACGGCCGTGGCTGGTGATGATGACGGCGAGGCCGTACTGGCGAGGTACGGCTTTAGGCTCTTCAGGCGGGGGTTGTCGCCGATGGAATGGGCGGTGGCCAGGGGGACGGTGGCGGCGGCGGGGGATGTGCGCAAGGACCATCCGTGACCTCCGCGGTGGAGTCCTCTGGGCGCGACATGGCGCTTGGCTTCCGGACCGTGACCAGGAAGGGGTTCGCGGTGAACTGCTACCCGCCCAGCCCTCTATGGGCTGTATGTACTGTACTGTACTGTACAGTACGGCTCTATTGTATACCACCACCGCCACTTCCCAAGCTACCAAACAACCGCACCCTGCCGTCCAGCAACAAACCATAGCCACACCCTACGTGCAATGCGGCACTGGGAGGTCCCCAGGTTCCGTGAAAATCAGATCTAGCAGAAAATGCACAGCTCTCGCCCTGCCCGCCCCTTCCGCCCTGAACGTAGAACTGTAAGTCGTACGTGCCTGCAGGACATAGCAGAACCAGCAGGGAAAGCAACAGCAGCTGGGGAGGAGAACTAGGGAAAGAATGTTGAGATGGCAGAGGATTTAGAATAGTCGGAAAAGCTGAAAAAGGACACGATGCGAGGCCCTAGTCCTCGCATGTGCTGTCCGTGTTCCTCGGCCGTTGTCAGGGCGCGTGTGTGTTCGTTGGCTGCAGCAAAGCGATTTCACCACGACATGCCGCAAGGGTTTGTCAGCAGGAAGCGTGGAAAAGGATGAATGTCTTATCGCAATGGTGGCTGGGCTGAAGTCTTGCACAAGCTGTCAGGAGTGGTAGGTGCGGTTTCCACTGCGCCGTGGGCGTCAGGTGGTCCTCCCGTACGTGCTGCTGCGGTCTTGTTACCGCGACATAGAGGTTTTCAATGCGAAGGCGCATATAAATTGAATTGCAACCATGATCACCTAATTGCATAGAAGCATGTTTCTTCGTTCCACCTGGTAGCATCTTGTGGATTGGCTTTGGAACGGCAGTAGCAAACCATGTTTGAAGTTATTCAGGGGGCAGTTCTAGATCTAGCAGAAAGTCTTCAAGGATCCTTGTTGTACTTGGACGCGGGTGCTGGGGAGATCGCTCAGACGACGCTCGGGCTTCCCTTCTTGTTTGGTGAGCTAGGAGGCTTGATTACAGAAGCATGGCGCAGATTGAGCTTATGTTACATGGGCGTTATTTCGAACGGCGTCGTAAACGGGAACGCAGGACTCGGCGTGAGTCATGTCTGCTCGCTGGAGACGGCAACGTCAGAGGACTCAGCATATCCGCTGTTGGCTACTGGCTCGGCTCCAACTCGACTAGCCATTTTCACGACGCAGCTGCTCACGGATGCCCACCAATCCATCCTTCGTGCCGTCCTGGTGCGTCGATCCTGTTCATCATTCCGGGAAAGAAATCGCACACGCCCTGTTTGGATGAGTGTTTTCCCTTGCACGGGAGAAACTCCTCACTACAGGTTATGCATGGTTACCTGTCGTTGGAGTTGGGCCTGGGCTTGGGTCCCGCTAAAGTGTTTTTGCGCTCTCATAAATTACAACGGTCCCTTCCCTTTTCTCTCGTTGCCCTGTACATCCCCTTCACTTATCTCCCCTCACCCCCCTTCCTGAACTGCCCCCGGCGCGTGCATAACGTAGCATACCTCCTTGGCCCCCTCGTTCCCCGCCACAGGCGCACCCGACGATTGGCAGTGTCTCGGTGTTTTCATCCGTTAGTGAGCACGCACACGCCTGTCAGGCGGCGACCGAGCTGGGGGTGGAGGCGTACCGTGAATATGCTGAGCTATTGCAGGTGCGTGGGTTGATGATGATGATTAGGTCGGACGGAAAGTAGGGGTAGGAATGTTGGGACGGAATGGTCGTACGGAAAGTAGAGGTAGGAATGTGGGTTGTGTTTGTGGGCTCGGCACTGATCAGCGAAGCCGTGTGAGAGCTGGCACTCAAGGAAAGATCGGGAATATGGTCGGGACGTGGTGCACACAGACAAGCAAAGTAAAGCACACCAGCTGTGCCCTAAGTTGACGGCAGGTGTTACAAGGCGACTCAAAATCACCCACATCGGAAACAGCATCCATTCATTTGTCGATACAGATGTAATTTTGATGTTGTATTCATGATTGTGGATCAGCCGGCGTGTGTACTTGAATGCTTGCGGGATAGTGTGATCTCCGAGAAGTGGGTGGCGATGACATGTTGTCAAGGTGTCAAGGCGTTTGGTAGTACGTCCTGAATGCCGTCAGGCTTCGTTACTGGTTTGGATGGCGGGCCGCTAGCGGCCATCTATCCAACGTGATGAACCTCAACGAAGTCAATGCTCAGTAAGGATTCATCCTGCCTTGGCGAAAAGCTTACCAACCCGCGCGCAGCAAAACTGAAACTGCCAACCGCGTTGTTGCGCAGGCAGAGGTCCGAAGGGCGCGTGCTGGCGGAGGCGGCGGAGGCGCTTCTAACGGAAGCGGAAACGGTGGCGAAGGCGGTTTCGGAGCTCCGTCGCCCCCGTCTCCGCCTGTGTCGATCCGTGTGGCCTTCCTGCCACTCCTGGCATCCTGCCTGGATCAAGGATTGTTCGTACTGCCTGCAGCCAGCTCAGCCGCAAGGCGGGCCTTGTGAGTCGTTGGTCGTTGGCCTAGTTTAGTTGTTGGTTGGCGGTTATCTGCCTTTCAATTTGGGGGAATCACAGATGGGGACGGAAAACACGCATGCATGTGCGCATTCTCCCGTCCCGTTTGAACCCCGAACACGATCCCGGCCGGCGTCCCCCCGTGGGGCGGGAATGGGGCGGGATACACAACCCCCCCTTTCCGCCCCACCCCACAAATAGACAGTATTGTTTTGGGCGTCGGCGGCTGCTTTCTGATCCCCTGCATATACTCCCCATCCCACATAGCAACCCACATACGTCTCTCCCGAGCCCGCGGGACACTTGAGTTTCCTCCGGCTCCTTCCGTCTGACCCAACTGCGTCGCGCCTTACGTCAGGATGAACGACACCCTCGTCTTTGCATCAGGTCGCCTTTCTCTTTTGCGGATGACCCATCTTTGCTGCTGCTGCTGCTGCTGCCGTTTCCCCCAAGCTCCACTTCTCCCAGTCCTGCATTACTGCATCATGGGGACATCCCATTTGGCGCTGCTTCTGCCTAGCGACGTCGCTGGTACCATAGCGGTACGGTTCACTGATATCGTTGCTACCGCCCGTTGGTACTGCTACACCGCTGTGTTGCTGACGGCCGCACTGATGCTATTGCTGGCGTTACGCTCCCTCTCCCGCCCCTTCGCGTCCTTCACACGGATGTGGTCAGCGCCGGCGGCGTCGCGGCAGGCTTCGGGCCGCTGGAATCTGGTTTGACGGAATCTGCCGCTGCAGGGGAAGGCGCCTCGGGGGCCCTGTCGCTGATGGCACACGGCCTGTTGGCGCTGGCGGCGGCGATGGGCGCTCCGCGACCTGAGCCGTACGCCATAGGGCCCGTCAGTGCGGCGTTAGGTAGGTGGTAGGTGATGCCGTGGGCTCTTGATGTTGCTGTTGTTCAAATGTGTTTTCACTGCTCCCCGATCAGGACAACGACGGTGGGGGGGGGTGCTGTGAGCACATTATAAACACATAATATAATTCATCACCCTCGTGTCCCCTCTCGCTCCCCCCCCCCCGGGACGTTCCAAAAAATGTCGGTAGTTGAGTCTCGCGTCATCGCCATTCGGACTACTACTCCTGCAATTTGCGGCAACTTTGGACGCCTTCCGGCAATTGTTGTTTTCCCTTCTTGACTTGCATGGCATGGCATGGCATGGCATGGCATCGTACAACAATCCCCCATCCCCCACTGTCCCAGGGTGCGTTACGTTTTCCGCGAACCCCAGACCCTCCTTCAACACCCCTCACCTCACCTCACTTCGCTTCGCCATCACATCCTTCATGACCCTCCCACCTTACCTCACTTCGCTTCGCAGCGGCGGAGCTGGCGTCCCTCCCCAGCGTCTCCTTGTCCGTGTCTACCAACCCCGGCAGCCTGGCAGGTGGTGGGACCAGCTCCGGCAGCTCCGCCGCAGCCTCCACCCCCTCTGCATCCTCCTCCTCCTCTTCGTCCTCCTCCCTGGCGCTGATATTGGTGGATCGTGCCCTGGACCTGGCCAGCCCCTGCGCCCACACGGACCATCCATGGGACCTGCTGCTGGCGGCGGCGGCGACGCGCCAGGCGGCGGCAGCAGCAGCAGCTGGGAAGGCAGTGGCGCCGGCGGCGGCAGCGGCCCCTGCGGCGGCGGCTACTTCTGCTTCTCCTGGCATGCAGGCAGTTTGGCGGTGAGGACGTGACCTGGATGAGCGATAGCGATATCGCTAATGGCGTTGTTGTTGCCAAGGGGCGTGAGGGGGCTGTGTTGATGTGCACGTGTCTTGCCGTGTCTTGCCGGGTGCACACCGCCTGTTGGATCTTTGCATTGTTGGACGATGTTGTTTTTTGACGCCCTATCAGGCAGCCCGCCCGCCCGCACACACGATTATCCGGTCTGAACTCAACCATAAGCCTCAGGGGTGACGCGTCTCCCCTCCCCCTTTCGCTCATTCGTCTGTTCGTCTGTTGGTTTGTTTGTTTGTCTATTCGGATACATACCACGCAGACCAGTGGATTTACGGGTGGCGCTGCAAGCGCCTGTAGATGCCGTGCCGCTGGATGCCGTACCCTGGGTGCCCGCCGACGCCGCAGCGCCGTCGTCAACGGCTGCGTTCCTGCCGTATGGCCAGCTGTCGTACGAGTCGTATGGGGTTGAGCTGTTGGATCCGACGGACCGTACGGCGATTTCGCGGATTGAAGCGATTGCAGGGCGGCCGCGTCGCGATGCCCTGGCGGCGCTGCGGCGCGGGCTCAAGGAGGCGCTGCGCGCTGAGAAGCTGACGCCAGCTGTACGGAGCAAGGCGGGTGCCGTACAGGCACCGGAGCTACGGGGTCTAGCTGAGCCCCTGGTGACGTCATCCGGTGAGAATAACCGCCACTGCCATCATCCTGGCCGCCTTGGCCGCCTTTGTATTTCCTCTTCTCCACATCACTTCGGGGCACGACGTGGTGGTGGAAGAGGTGACAAAACGGGATGTGTGCCGTGTGTTTTAGGACTTCACTTGCCCGACTTCACTTGTGGTTACCCGAAGCTCATGTTGCTCGGCTTGTCCCCGCGCGCTTGTGTGCGGTTGTCCGGCACTGTCTTGTCTCCACCCGGCGCCCGCTGGCTCCCTGTCCATACCGGCTACTTTCCTTTGAGACGCTGGCTACACACTGCTGCCGTCGTGGCGTTGCGTTGATAATCTGTTACGTATTATTGCCGTCCTGCGTGTGCTCCACGTGCACAAGGCGCCTGCAGCCGTCAGCGCGGCGTGGCGGCGCTGGGACTGGCGTTGGCTGATGTCATGACGGCGCCGGCGGCGGCGGAATGGGAGGCGGCGGCGGGCCTGGAGCGCGGCGTGCTGGCGGCGCTGGCGGGCGACGGCAGCGGCGGTGGTGGTGGCGGCGGCGGGTGTGATGCGGCGATGCAGGTGCTGCTGGATGCGGTGGGCGCCGCCAGGAGCGGGTGGGTGTGGCGGGGTGGTGGGGGGTTTGGCTGGAAGGTGGGAGCCAGGGGCCCAGCTCCCCCCCTTTCGTCAGAAGCAGCCAGAAACAGTAGATTGGGGAAGGGCATGGTGGAGGGAGATTAAGGAATACGACACATCCGCACACGTCCGAATTCGGCATGCCTGGGGGGCCCATGCATCATGCGTGTGTGTATGTGTTTGTGTGCTGAAGCCTTACCTCACACCTTTCCCCGCCGCATGTACCCCACTCAACTCAAGCCCACTCCACAGCACCTGAGTGCATGCACATTTCCTCTGCCGCCTTCCATGTCTCACCCCTGCCACCACTCCATCCCACCTCCTCCCGGAACTCCACCCTCATACCCTCATATGCCCAGGCGGGGTCCACTCCATGTCGGTCACGTCTTGGAGATCCTGCCCGCTGTCTTCGCAGCCGCAGCAGACTCGGAATCAGCCACCGCCGCCGGGCCGGCAACGGCGGCGGCGTCCGCTTACACCTATACCGGCAGCAGCGGCAGCGGCATCTGTCCGTTTAGTCTCCAGCAGCAGGCGGCGCTTCGCCGCGCTCTGGAGGAGGCTGTACTGCATTTGTTGTCTTCCTCCGACACGTGTACGGCAACCAGGGTGCAGGATGTCCTAAGCGGGAGGCTGCCACCGGATGTTGTGGCGGCGCTGGCGGCAAGGGTGGCGGCGCGGCAGGTCGTTTACGGGTACTTGAAAATACTGTTTACTTCGTGTAATCATGGTATTCATGAAACCTTATCATCCCTTGGGAAAAGGGTTATGATGGTGTTAATGATGTTGACGTGGTACTTTTATAATTCTTACCATGTCTCTTACGGGAAGACGTTGTTACTTAGAATGGGAACCAACAACCTATTCGGCGTACCTTACCCACCTACCTCCCTAACCCTACCTCCACACCTTGCCGACCCCGGCAGGTCGGCGATGGCAGCAGCGGCATGGAGGGCGGTGCCGAGGGGGAGGTGCAGGAGGAAAAGGAGGAGGAGGTGGCGGTATTGCGGCGGCGTCTCTCCGCAGCTCTGGATTCGCTGTTCGTGGGGCTGCGCTATGCATCTGGGGCCAGGGAGCGGCTCAAGACCTTCAGAAAGGTGCGCGCTTCGGCCGGTTATGGATTATGGAGGTGACTCCCTTTCGTCATCTTCGCACTTGCCCCTAGCAAAAGCAGACAAGGCATATATAGCACACCGTTGCATGACATGCCTTTGGGCCTTCGGCTCGTATGGGTAGTCTTACAGGTATGGGGTCACGCACCCCCAACCATGTATAACACACACACACATGACATGCAGATGTACAGATGTACAGATGTACTACGCGGCTATCGTCCTTTTTTGTTTGTACTGTGATGGGAAGAGGCCTGATGGCTACAAACGTTGCCGTGTGCATGGCCTTGCTTGCTGCGTGATACGGCTTCCTGACACCTCACTCTCTGACGTGTGTGCACAAGTGTCCTCTTGTGCAGAATCAGGAGATGCACGTTCTTGCGTCGTGCTGTACTGTGCCGTACAGGTCACCCATGTGGACGTGTTCGCAGAGAACCATGGGTCGCTCAATCCGCTTTTGCGCCAGGTGGTTCGCAAGGTGCTGCAGCGGGCGGAGGTCAGCGACTGGCAGCAGCAGGTGTGGTGGTGTGTGTGTGGGGGGGGTTGTGGTTGTGTGTGTGTGTGTGTGTGTGTGTGTGTGTGTGTGTGTGTGTATGTGTTTGAACAAGGGCGTGGGATTAGGGCGAGGGTAACAGCCTGTGGGGGCCGAATGGTGTGGAGGTGGGATCTGTGGGGCTGAGTCCACCTACGGGCGCTTGCAAGGCCCTCTCTACCTCCAACTCCCCGGCCCCCTTCCCCCCCGCCACCACAGCAGCTGCGTCAGATTGGTTTGGACTCAGACATCTGGTGCCTTGGACTTCAGCTAGGTATTGTAAAACCAGGCAAAGAGTACTCAGGGAGATGCCAGGGGAGCTGATCCCTCTTACAGGTCTATTCTATAGACTGCTGCACCGATGGATTGCATCTCACCCCCTCTTGCTCAGGTCTCCGCGGTAACCGCCTCTCACCGATGCCGCTGACGCGCCACCCCCAGCTCACCTGCTTCAGACTTCGATCAGCTGCCGCACTGTTGCCTACCCACCGCCCGGCGCCTGCCCGTTCTTGCCTTGTTTTGACACTTCTCCACCTCCCCACCTTCCCCACCTCCCCACCTTCCCCACCTCCCCACCTTCCCCACCTCCCCACCTTCCCCACCTTCCCCACCTCCCCATCCGCAACCTCCAATCCCCAATCCCCCGACAATATTCCCTCTCCCGTTGCCTGCTCCATTGTTCTTCACGGCTTACGTACGACAGTCATTGAGCAGCGGTGGTGGCGGCGGCCTGGTGCGCGGGCTGCTGGGGGGCCTTATGGGCGCTTCCCGCGCGCTGGTGGGGCGAGCGGGCGGGCAGGCGGGTGGCGGGCAGCTGCCGGCAGACTACGGCACCGTACTTGTGTTTGTCGTGGGCGGCATCAGTGCGGCGGAGGTTCGGGAGGTAAGGGGGCCGCGAGCCGGGGTCCAGTGGGCCCAGTGTGAGAATGGAGGTGTTTGTCGGTTTCATAAGGCCTACGAAAGAGGCGGCTCGTGGAGGAAGAGAGCCCTAAACCGACCCTTCAGGCTCGAGGGGTTGGGTGTGTGTGGATAGGGGGAAGTTGCCCCTCATTTTGCCTCATCTCTTTACTACTAGGTCCGAGGTTTTGACCATAACCTCGTAGCTAGTACTACGAGATTTTTAGTTTTCTAATGCGACACTGCCTCCCCTTCCTTGCCTTCCTTCCTTGCCACGTCTAAAAAGACCACCGTGCCGTACTTTAATTGATCCTGAAGAGCCGAATTTGGAGTCATAATGACCGTTACCTTAAAATATGCTATTAAGTAGTATATTGTAACTCGTCCAAGGCTTAAGGAGACGTCAAGATGGTCCATCCACGCACGCCTCTGTTCACCTGTCATTGGAGCATCTATCCGACACCTTTCTCCACACGTTGCCCGGTGTGGTCGTCGTACAGGTTCGCGCGGAGTTGGACGAGCATGTAGGCCCTGGCAAGCCGCGCGTGCTGCTGGGGGGCACTTCATTGCTGCTGCCGCAGGTGGGGCATGTGTGGGTGGGCGGATGGGTGGGCGGAATGCACATCCTGGGGTTGGGTTGTATGTGTGTACATATGTGTAGTTTTACGGAGGAAAGGCATGATGGGTTCAGAGTGTATGGGGTCACTGAGTATATGTCTATCTATCTATTTATCTATCTATCTATTTATCTATCTATCTATCTATCTATTTATCTATGTATCTATTTATTTATCTATCTATCTATCTATCTATCTATCTATCTATCTATTTATCTATTGGGGCCTATTTATCTATCTATCTATCTATCTATCTATCTATCTATCTATCTATCTATCTATCTATCTATCTATCTATGTGTATTCAAACGGTGGGGGGAGAGGGAACTGCCTGGGGATGTAGAAACGTATCAAGGTGAAAGGAATGGAGGCAGATGTGAATCGGCGGAAATGGCCTGTTGTGGGAGATGTAATGGGTTTAAGTATAGTTCTAACCGGGAGTCTCCACGTGGACGTTTGTTAACTATCTCCACTAAAGTTATTGGCGCGCTAACAATGCCTAACAAAGTACTGTCTCCACTAGCAGCCCCGAAACCATATTTTTACCGTCTTTTAGCGCCATTTCGCTCCTGCTCTAGCATAATATTTTTGAACATTAAAGAGAAATGAGGAGGGCAGTTGTCCTGCAAATTGCCGCTGGGTTGTTGCCCATTCTGAGCGGCCTGGGTAGCAGCATGGACATCGGCAACGCTGAACAGTCGGGGCAGCGGACTCTGCGTTGGCTGTTGAGTGGTTGCCATTAAGGCATTGTGTAATGAAGTAGGATAGTTCTGAGACGGAACCGGCGAGAGCGACTGGTTCTGTGACATTCTTGGTCAACGGCAACGGCGAAAGTCGGCAAGCAGTCAAGGTAGTAGACGGAAAGCAAAGGAAAGACCGGGTGATATTATAATTTAAAAAGAAGTCACGAGATTTTCCGCGCTCAAAGTTAACAAATTTAACAATCCTTAAAGCTGGTCCGGGGCAGCCTATAAATTTTGCGGACTTATTGGACGTTTAACAAGGGCCTTGTCTCAACGTGGGCCCCCCGTTCTTCGCCATCCCTCCGCCTTCCGTCAAACCTTTTGCATTTCTATAATTTATTTATATAGAATATGTCATATTGCGAAACAGAACGTGCAAACCTGACGTCCAGGGTGAGAATTTTTAAAAGGGTCGCTAACAAACGTCCACGTGGAGACTCCCTGTAAGGCTTACAAAAAACCGTCTGCTGTACATTTCTGTGTTCACCTCCGCCTCCATCTCCACATTCGGGTCTGGTCGTGTTGAGGGTTCTAGGTAACCCCTCCTTTAGGTACTTCATCACCAGCGTCCCCTCCCCCGTCCACCACGACCACCACCTCACCTGGAGTCCCCTGCCCGCTTTGACGCGCCCTGTGTCCCCCCAACCCCCCTCAGGATGTAGTGCTGCAGCTTGCAGGCGGTCTGTTGCCGCCTCCAAAGTAGCTAACTGTCACAACCAGTCGCTTCGGTTGGCTAACCGACATTTCAAGCTAACGACCCGGTAGCCTTCCTGGTCGGTTATTACTTACCGACCGGTAACCTTACTGTCGGTGCCCCCCCAGTTACTGGGTCGTTAGCTCGTTATGTCGGTTACCCTATCTAACGGCCAGGCACCGAAGCGAGCAGATGCCGACCGAATCCAGCTGCACACATGTGTGGGTACCCTCAGTACCCGCACCGAACGACAACCAAAGTGAGGAATGCTCTAAGGCTTATGTTCCATTACTTTGGGATTATGAACATGTCCTTCTTACAATAAAAGGAAGCGTACGGCAATACGACACGCACAATCAGGTACTATGAGGCAACTTCGGCCTATCAGTTTTATAAGGGGGCGCCATGGGTTGCATCCCCAACTCCCCACAGACGCGGTTCATGGATGGATGGGTAGTTGTGGAGGAGGTATGCGGATGAGTCGATAAACTGTTGGGGCGTTAGGATATGCAGGAAGAAGGCGCCGGGATGTGAAGAGGGCTCAAGTCAATTTCGAATTCTCAGCAGCGTATATTTGGGAGCATGGCGGGCTTTCCATGCGTATGGGGGAGCGGGTGCAAGGGGCGCGGCCCACAGCTCTACCAACCACCCCGTATCATAGATCCAACTCCCAACCGTTAACGACTTGCACGCCAGCACCCTACATGGTGTCGATATGGCCCGAGAAGGATGTTCAAAACAGTGGTGTGCTTCGCGCTCTCGTCTATTTATAAGGTATTACAGATGCGGCCACTTGTAAGACAGGAGTATGGGAATTAATCTTATCCAATATGTAGAAGACAACACCGCACAACACTGTGTTAGCATGCATTGCACTGCCTGGGCCCTGTCGTGCCCGGCGTTGGGCCTCGTCGTTCGTCCGGGTGCCCGTCTCGCGTTGAAAAAGAACTTTCGGGTATTTCCCCGTTCCTGCACCCTCCACCAAGAGCACCAAAAATACATTCTTAATGCGGCCGCAGCGGAGCTCAGCCTATGAATCGAGCAATTTGCCGTTTGTTCTGCACCAGTGCGACGAATAGAAAGTTTGAAAATGAGAAAGCCATTCGCGCCCGCACGGATGATAATAAGGTAAAAGAAGGGCCAACAGCAGGAGAACTTTCAAAACCGAGACGGCTATATTCAACCGCCCGGTGCCCAGCACGCGCCAAAACGCGCGCAAACATGCAACCTGCTATATGATTGCATTCTTTTGGCTTATTGCATTGGCTCTCAGCACCGTAAGGTGCGAAGATTCGTGCTCCTGTACGCTGGCCAAAGCGGAACGAACAGCCAAATCGTGAGCGATCAAAATAAAAAATTCTACCATTTTTTTCTACGTTGTCACCACATCGTGACCACTGTACGATTGATACAAGTATCAAGGTCCGATTTTCAGCTCTTATGTACATTTATGTGCACGCTGTTAGTCAGGGCTGTCAGTCAAGTATAATTTCAAATCGTACGAACAAGTTGGATTAATGAACTGTACACACGGGGGAAAAATGCCACGCTGTTTGTCAAAGGGTCAGCATTGTGCCAGCGACGCGTCTCAAGCCGTTCCAGCATTGAGTTGCGTAAATTAGAATCACAGGCCGCAGCAAAACAAAAGTCCAAACAGAAAGGAGGATTCGCACACCAGTTCTTGGACGTGTTGGATTCTGCCCCGTCGTCGCCACGCAAGAGCCCCGTGAACGTACAGATCCTTGACTTTCTTTTCAACCCTCCCGTCCTCCTCGCGTTTCAGGCAGGTGAACTCGGAAGATGCGCCATAAATGGTGATGTGCACGCGCTAATCGCATGCAGGTGCTGGTATGGCATACGCACAGGCACACATACACAGACAGACAGACAGATAGACAGACAGACAGACCTCCGCCACGACACCTTTCTTACCCGCAGAATATGCAGGTCTACCTTACATATATACATGCATACATATGTACATGTTCATGCCCTTTGGCCAGCTTCACGATCAATGCATCCATCAATGCGCTGGCCCTCCACCTCGCCCGGCAACCATGACCGTGTGTGCGCGCGCCCGCCCGTGAATCCGGGTGGTTGCATTCCGGGGTGTTGCTGCTGAGTGCCCGGGTCCGCAATGCGGGTGATGGGATGGGGGGTCGTGTCGTACGCGGAGTACGGCACCAATAGATGAGAACACATGGCAGGTATTACTTTGCTATTGCCGCAGGGGTGTTGCTGTAGGACGTGCTTGCTTGGTGCGAGCTCATGCCAGTAGGTGGAGATGGAGATGCCGTATGTATGGATCCACATCGAAGGCACCGAAAGCCGCATTAGCTGATGCATCCCATGCGCGCAAAGAAAGAAACCCGCCATAACGGAAAATTTCAAATTCAAATTTTCCTCATATTCTGTGAGCTGCTTTAGGCAGCTTCCCAGCCCGGCGGGCCCTCCCCCGGGCGCCCTACATTGCTTTCCCCCAGCGCGCCCCCGCCCGCCATTTCAGTCGTAACACAATCGGAAATTCCCACCCGTCACAAAACACACACGCATGACGCCGCTCCCTCTCACGCCGCTGCGATTGATGTGCCGTCACTCCTCAATTCCCAGTAACGATAACATACATACATACATACCGACCTTACATACAGATGAAAACCCAGACCAGGTGGGTGTGAATGCACTGGCCGCACTGCCCTGGGCTTTCAAGGCAATAACGTGCAGACGCCGCCGCACACCACTCATATGCACCAAGACTGTACGGTTCCGTACCCTGAAGCCGTACGACATGTAAGGATCTCGTGGCGCGGATCCGTACGTCTATTTTACTGCACGCCAGGAACACAATACGCCCTAAAAACGTGGCGGAACATGTACTGCGCAAAAGCCGGCCCTGTTCAGCTGCGTGAGCGAGCTCTATTCCAGAGCGGAGGGAGCGGATGATGATGATGATGATGACGATGATGATAACGCGGAATACATTTCCTGCCATAGATATTAGTAGTACATAAACGTCTGTGCAAATATCTCCTTTTAGCTCAGTAATTTGCAGTTGGTAAATCATTTACTCGTTCATCAGTACGCGGCAGCCCACCAAGTTCCGTTCTCATCGAGTCTGCTGCTGTCGGGCGCCTTGGAAACGCCAGAGAAGGGGATGCCAGCGGAATTTGCCGCCGCTGCCCCCGCCGCTGCCGCCGCCGCCGCCGCCGCCGTCGGCGCGGGCTCGGGGCAAACCATGTTCTGCCGCGGGACAGAGTCACGGGGCGTGGCAGCATCACCGCCAACGCCGCAAGCAGCATTAGCAGCTGGGGCGCTGACGATGGTGACGTTAAAGCCACGGGGCTGCTGGCGCGGGGTGTTGCTGTTGCACATCGCCTCACCCCGAGGACTCGCCCACGGCACCGCCGCCGCCGCCGCCGCTGCCGCCGTTTCTCCTTCCGCAGTGCCGTACATCTCCACGCGTTCCGCCACCGGCATAGCTCCGGCGTAGCCGCGGCTGGTCGTGGCCAATTGCTGCGGTTGGCTGATGCCTGCAGAGGGCCCGACTACGACGACGGTCGTCATCCCCGGCGGAGGTGCCTGCTGCCCGACGTTTACAACGGAGGCGTTGTTGTATCCAGACGGCCCTGACGGCGCCGCCGCCATAGCTTTGCCGTCGCCCACGCGCTGCTTGGACCGCCGCTTGTGTACGATAACCGCCGCTACAGCCGCCACCGCTATCCCGGCGGCGAATGCACCGCCGATGATGATGCCGGCAAGTACGGGCATGCTGACGGTCTTTTTCTTCTTGGACGCTGGCGGCGCCGGCGGCGGCGGGGAGGCGGCGTTGCCGCTCCCCTGGAGCGTGGCGTCGCTGACGGCGCCGATGCCGCTCTCGTCGACCTGCGCGTTCTGTACTTGGGCCTGCAGTCCTGCTGTGCTGAAGTTGGCCGCCAGCGCGGTTGTGAGGGCCGTCAAGGCGGCGGTGTTGCCGGTGCTGGCGGCGACAGCGAGGTCAGTCAAAACGGTGGTCAGCGACGACTGCGCAACGGAAGCGACCTTGGCGGCGGACAGCAGTACGGCGGTGACGTCGACGGTCTGGCCCGCTGCCGCCGCCGTCGTCACCTGGCGGTCGAGCTGTACGAGCATGCTGCTCACCTCCGCTACTGCCGACGAGACGGCGGTTAGCAGCTGGTCCAGCTGGGGTGTCGTACGTGGGGGAGGTGGTGGGGAAAAGAAGGTGGTGGAAGGAGGGGAAAGGGAAGGGAAAGGGCGGGGAAGGGGAAGGGGAATTGGGGTTTTACGGAAGTACGACTGGATTCCAGAGTTCCAGGTATTGCGCGGTCGCAAGAAGCGAACAACCCCCCTGGACAAACGAAGAGCGTCTCCCTGTGGACTCAGCTGTGCAGCCGAAAGGCAAAGCGCCCGGTCCTATGATGCAACCCTAAAAGATCTGACCGACTCCGGGAAATCCGAAACCCCGCAAAACACAAACGTCTGTAAACGACATGCCTGCTACATACGCACGCGAAACACACACACATACATATACATACGTGCACACACACATGTATATACACACACACGCGAAACACACACACACGCGCGCGAAACACTCGGCCTCACCGTAGTCAGATCCAAAATCTGCTGCAGCCGGCGGTTTCTCGCGGGGCTCCTGTTCCCGTCGGAGCCATTTGATAGCTGTCCGGTCCATTCGATGTAGGAATCGCGCATAAGGCCCTTCAGGTAGGTTTTGTTGTCGGGCTGAAGTGTTTTCTGAATGAGATGGTACGACATGTTCGCAAAGTACGACTGCGCCACGTCATCGGTGGATATCGTGTAATTCAACAAGCCTGCGATGTGGTGGCGGTGATCGTGGTTGGAAAGCATTCGAGTTTGGTGTGTGTGACAGACATATAGACAGGCAGACAGATAGAGGCATGATGACAGAGATACAGCACGCGGAAGAGTCAGGCGGGGTTTACGTAGAGTCGTCATGGGGTATAACACCGATCCCAACACCGAGCAGTTTCCCTCCTTATAAACAAACAAACAAACAAACAAACAAACAAACAAACAAACAAACAAACAAACAAACAAACAAACAAACAAACAAACAAACAAACAAACAAACAAACAAACAAACAAACAGACACACAATCACAAAGCCACGCACGAACCAAACGGTTCACATCCAGTGTGTGGAACCTATTGTGTGACCCGAACACGTGTGCACGCAATCACTTACCTCACCTTACCTTACCACGCAAAGTCAAAGTCGCTACACAGACATATGTAGATATAAACCCTTTAAACCCAATAGACCCAATCAAACCCTACACGCACCCGACATAAAGCTGCTCGCCGGTCCAATCGCATTCAGCAGCCGCTGGTTAAGCAGATACACGCGGGCCACCAGCGGACTGCTGTCACGCCAATTTTGCCGTACAAAGTCGGCATCTGACGGCAGTGCATCCGCCGCGCCGGCTACGCCAACGCCGAAGTAGTTGTACACGGCCGCGTAGTCGGCGGCGGAAATGGTGCGCGGCGCCTGCTCTGAAAGATTGTACATGTATACGAGTGACGCTAGGTAGGCGGCCGGATTGATGAAAACGGAACTGCCAATGACAGACGGGGGTACGAAGGCCCGCATCGTCATTTGCGAGCGAACGGTTTTGCCGCCGACGGACAAAGCCGCGTCGCGGCAACCTGGATAGGCCGTTGCCTGGATAGGCCGTTTGGGGGGTTTTGGTGGGTGGGCAGTTGGTGGTTAGGCGGCGGTTGCCGGTGGGAAGTTTCTTCTCGTGGCGACGTACATAGCAGCTAAAGTTGGTTGTTGAAAATGTTTTAGATTGGGACAGTTAGCATTAGCATACACATGGTAATAACAACACTAATAACGATGTCGGCTGCCGTACGTGTGCCGTACGTTCTTGCCCTTTGACTCACCAACCCGAAGGTGACGTTGCTAAAGGTTGCAACGCCCTTGTCGTTCGTGCTTGCGTTCTGGGAATTTAGCACATCAGTCACTTGGAAGTAGTTGACCTGCATGTCAGACGTCAGGTGAGGCAAGGTGAGGCAGTTGACGTTCATTATTACACTCATTATTACACAGTTGCGCACATCAGCCTAACAGCATCCAGGCAACCCTGTTTTGATTTTTTTACACTATGAACCAAAAACAAAAGTAAATGTCCATTCCGATTTCTACGAGGTCGTGTTGCGAGACTTGATGGCCACGACAAGCGCCGCAAAGAATATACACATTTTCTTTTTCAGCCAGGACCCATGTGTTTACTACAGTTGTACACATCAGCCTCCCGTACCTACCGTACAGCCCGTAAGCGAGCCGGAGGCGCGCACGTGCACGGAGATCGCCCCCACGGTTGGAACCGCGTCGAGTCCCAGGGCGCTGGCGAGGTGCGGGAGGCGGATGGGAGCGGCTTGCAGCTGGAGCCCCCACCCTGTTGGGTCGCGAGGGCCGTAGGCGGGGGGCGGTGGAGGTGATTTGCGAATGTGCGGGACTGCAGGTGTGGCGACTGCTTTGCTGAAGATTAGTTCTGCATACAGCGTCTGTGGTGTGGTGTGGTGTGGTGTGGTGTGGTGTGGTGTGGTGTGGTGTGGTGTGGTGTGGTGTGGTGTGGTGTGGTGTGGTGTGGTGTGGTGTGGTGTGGTGTGGTGTGGTGTGGTGTGGTGTGGTGTGGTGTGGTGTGGTGTGGTGTGGTGTGGTGTGGTGTGGTGTGGTGTGGTGTGGTGTGGTGTGGTGTGGTGTGGTGTGGTGTGGTGTGGTGTGGTGTGGTGTGGTGTGCTTGCTGGATGTTTTTAAACATGCAAAGCATAACCGCTTACACCGTAACCGCACCGCTGTGTGTGCGAGCAGCCGTTTGTACCAACGGCTACATACCTTCGATTAAGGCGTTTATTGCCGTGCCGTCACCGGCCAGCGCCGCCGCGGCCGCAGCCACGGCCTTGACCTGTACGACGTACGACACCCGCGCCGCCAGGGCCACCGCCGCCAGCGGCACCAGGGCCAAATCCTCGGGTGAGTTGTCCGGAGATAGCAGCGTCGCCACGGCGTTGCCGTACAGGCGGCACACGGTCGCTGCGGCGGTGGCGGCGGCGGCGGCGCCGCCGCCGCATTGCTCCGTCGCCACGCGGATAACGTTCGTGCAGAGGGTGGTGTTGGTGAGGTCGAGGGCGAAAGATTGCTCTGGGCGTAGCGCGACTAGGGAGTCGAAGATGGCATCGACGTAGGCGTCAGGCGTTGGACACAGCGCAGAGTTAGGGGCGGCGAAGCTGACGGCCGGGGCTGCGATGACCACCAAGGCTGCGAGCGCTGTGTCCGCATATAACATATACACACCCTTGAGCCTGCGATGGCGGTCAGGCGGGAGGGGCAGTGCGGCGGGTTAGGAGAAAGGGAAAGGGAAAGGGTACAAACACACAAGCACACAAGCACACAAGCACACAAGCACACAAGCACACAAGCACACAAGCACACAAGCACACAAGCACACAAGCACACAAGCACACAAGCACACAAGCACACAAGCACACAAGCACACAAGCACACAAGCACACAAGCACACAAGCACACAAGCACACAAGCACACAAGCACACAAGCACACGAGCACACGAGCACACAAGCACACGAGCACACAAATAAACACAAGCACACAAGCACACGAGCACACAAGCACACAAGCACACGAGCACACAAATAAACACAAGCACACAAGCACACGAGCACACAAGCACACAAGCACACAAGCACACAAGCACACAAGCACACAAGCACACAAGCACACAAGCACACGAGCACACAAATAAACACAAATGCAAGTGCTGCACACACACACACACACACACACACACACACACACACACACACACACAGAGAGAAAGACGTCGACGCACCTCTCCAAGAAATTGTTTCTGAGTGCCTGAAATGCGCCTCCCTCAACATCCGAGGCATACACACCTAGCAGGCTGTACGCCACCGACGAGATACCCAAGCCACTGCCAAACGTGTCGGCAGAGAAGTTGCTTCCGTTTTGGGATCGCAGGACGTGTACGAGTAATCGAGTTGCAGGTGTTACGATTACACGGGCCGTCGAGTTTTCCGGGGGGGGAATCAACCACGGGGCTGAAATGCTGAAGGGTAGCTGTTGTCCGGTAAAGGCATCCGTACAGTTTTGCGCCTCAATGGTCACCTTATGGCCCTGCGGTCGGGGAGGAGGAGTGAAACGGCAAACACACACACACAGAGCCATAAAATTTACAACTGTCTGCTGCATATATTGCATATCCCATCATAATGAGGAAATAAGTGCCTTTCCTCAGGAATGAATGATGAGGGAGTATTAATAGGTTAAGGAACTAATCACTGATTTGTACGATCTCAATCGATTGGTGTGGAGGCTCTACGGCAATTCGCTGGTATAGGTCGTGGGTTCAATTCCTGAGAAGCCCCTCGACAATGTCGGGAGGATGAGATTACGGCTGGGGCTATTTAACTGTGGAGTTGAGGTCATAGATCATGGACGATGAATTGGTGGCGGCTGCCGGACCTTCTATCTCTACGGATGTTTGGTTGAGGGGTATTTAACCCTAGATATGACAAGCCAAATGTGTTCCATTGGCCCTGAAGCTTTCCCATTCTGAAACAACGACAATAATAACAACAACAATGGTCAAAGATGGCTCTCCGAAAAGAGCTCCGAAGATGGCAGGGGGGTGACAATTAGTGAATCTGTCGCTATTGGACGACGATGGTTTGGAGTCAAAGCAGTGCTTTTTGAGCGTGCACATGCAACGCAAGAGCATAGCTTCTCCAGACTACCTGCACCCCCTTAGGTTTGTGCACATAAACTTTCCATGAAGGGTCGCTTACCTCCCGACCCGCCACCACGAGGCCGTTTCCCGAGATCTCCCCCCGGGTGTTTGTAGACACGGGGGCATGTAGGGGACCAACGCCCGCCGAACCCTGCAACGAAAAAGAACACACCACACGCAACCCCCGGCGGGGCGAAAGGGTTTTACGCAGCCGTACCCGACCTGTTGGAACTGCTCGCACCAGCCCGTGTGTGCGTATGCGTGTATGTGCGTGTGTGTATGTGTGTGTATGTGTGTGTATAGGTTACAGGTATCTGACCGGGCCTGACATTGGCCAGGGGCTGCTGCCCCGCCCCAACGGAAAGACCGCCTAAGCTCTCTCCCGCGGACGGGAGAGTTGCGCGAGGGGGCCCTCTGCCCCCTCCTGAACAGCCGAGAGCCGCAGGTCCGCTAGCTCCGCTCTCCTCCCCCCGGGGGGTGGGGAAGGCGTCGCACGCACGCATGCTCTCACGCGTCAGTCAGTCACGAGTTCGCGCACTACATGAAGCAAGACTCCAGCCCCGTCCTGATCCGGGGTGCTCTCTGGGTGGGGGTTCTTCACTTAGAAAGAGGAAACCCGGAAACCACACACAAACCCTATCCATCCCTACTACTACGGTACGAGAGCCTACTAGAAAGCCCGCGGTGTGTATACCTGTGTAGACACATGTACACATATACAGACATATAAACTATCATAAGTTCTATATTTGTGTATTTGTGTATGTGTGTGTGCATCTCCACGACCAACAAGTGTCCAAACAAAACCGTGGCCATGTTGACAGGCACGGGTAGACAGACTGCCAAGCAGCGGGCTGGAAGTTTTTGCACGGCTGTGTGAGTATGTGGTTGGTTGCCTTTTGTGCCTAAATGCGGTCTTTTTAGGGGTAGGATGCTGAACAGCCGGATGGTACAAACGTACGACAATTACACGGCACCTACTATCACCGCCGCGCACATGTACATGCAAATACACACACGCACCGTGCAAGAGGCAGCGGGTCCAATGAAAAATGCGACGCCGGTCATATTAACCAGGGCTGGGACGGGCGGTGATGGCGGCCGGGAATCCGAGGGAAGATAATTGTAGGACGGTGGCAAAGAGCCACTGTTGACACTGGGCGAGGAAGGCGGATAAGTGGGCACCGAGGGGTTGGCCCCCACTTCCTGGAAGGAGACCCTCACTGCTGCAGGCGCTGTGTCAGCCATGTCGGACCAGGCGGGGGGAGGAGCTAAAGGCATTGATGCTGTATATGACACAGAGTCGGAAGACAATTGATTTTTTGTATCGTATTTGCTTGGCGGTAGCGGTACCATGGGCAGTCCGGTGAACTCCTCTGGGTCAACTCGCTTAGTAGCGGCCTCCGAAACAATTGCGACACTCAGAAGTCCCAGAAGTAATATTATCTTCATGATCATTCCTGCATGAATATTTGCAGCAAGGGAGGGCTCACATGGACTCTTAACGGAAGTCGAAGAAACCGGCGGTTCGCGTCGCAAGCACGGATCAATAAGCACTCGCCCATTCGAGGAGTTGATCATCTCAGGTAACATAAATATGTTTATTATATATCACCAATGCTTCTTATGGCAGGTGTTATGGGCAAGTGTGTGCGCGACCTTCAACCCACTCGCGTGCCCTTCCGCACCGATTTCTACTGTAAAGGGAAGGCAAGAATAAAGAATTATAGGGGTAGACATAAATTTGACATATATTGAAATACGTTTTTAAAAACTGGTACTAGGGAAGTACTCACTTTGACGGAAAGGCATCTTGCATGTCAACATTCGACCGGAGTGGTCGTGGAGCACGGTCGTCAATGCAACGGGCAAAGCTATGTATAATTTCTCCTCAGAAAAGGCTCTAATGTCTACCTGCGGTAACGCTTTTGTTTTGGCCAGCAAAGCATGGGTTTGACTGTACCCCAAAAAACATGCAAATCGAACACGGACACGTTGGTTGCTAGTATTTGTACCCTGAGCGATCTTATCGCGAAGTGCATATGCCAAATATATAAGGTGCCGTTTCGGTTCTGCGGCTAAGGAACAGGAGTAGCCATTTCGTACGACGGCGATCCTGTACGATTGCGCATAACCCAACAGTTCAGCAAAAAAGGAAATGAACTACGAGAACCCCTTCAGTAAGTCTCTGCCAGGAGAGCGCGAGCGACAACTCGGGAGTAAAGTCGCCCATGAGACAGGGTGCAAGCCAGCGATGCAGCCGTTTCGGTGCCGGAACGCAAGCTGCAGCACGACTTAGTGAAGTACAGTATCGAGAAGGTAAGTCCTTGGTGTACTTCTTTCACTGTCGGGATCTTCCTAATTTATAGTGTATGTATTAACAGTCGGCCGTCGATGTGGTTGTGCATCGTACCTTTGTGCGTTCGCGTTGTTACCGCGGCGCACCTGTCGCGCAGTCTTCCTCATTCAACATATGTGTCAATGATACAAAAAAACTAATCTAAACTCCGATCCTGCTTCTGCATAAATGCAACTCTTAACCTGCGGACAGATGGGCACAGACGGTCCGACAGGCCCAATTCGCCGAGTCTGATCGCCAGCTTCCAAAAGCCGAACTACCCATGTGACAATATAATTGTGAAATGACAAATTTGCCTTCTGAAGTAAGGTATCTAAATACCAAACCCTCGCTCTTTTCCGTCCCACCCTGTCCCTCCGGCATCCAGTCATGCCCACAAGATCCTTTGACTCAAGTCCCGACAACGACTCCCACAACCCGCAGCAATTCAAGGACCTTGTAGAAGTGCAACATGCATATACTAACGCATCATACAACTACTAACGTAGCGAGCGTTTTTGAAGTTTCTGTTTGGTCCGACCTGGAAGCGGCAGACCAGTCCGACAAGATCCGACGAGGCCAACGCGGAGCCCCGAAACAGACCTTCCTCCAACATGAAAAAAAGTACATTCTTTACGAGCGTTTGGAAAACTTGAGTCTCTTTCGTTCTGTTCTTCTCTCAGGTTTCGGTCAATTATTAGCTGCTCGTTGCGCTTTGCTGTAACGTAACTAAGCGCTTCGCAAATGGTACATCCTTAGAGTCTTGCATTGAGAGTCCAAGCTTGGCCAAGACAGGTAGCGGTAGCATTATATGACTCTTCGCCGGTCTGTTTGAAGACCGAGGTCTTTTCCGCCCTCGGCTGCCGCCTGCTGCCAGGAACCGCGAAAATCTGGGACTGCAATCTTTTCCGCGCCACAAATAACGGAGCTTTCAAGTCTTAAGAGAAAATAAACCTTAGGATTTAACCAGGAGTAACCCCAAGTAACCGGCCAGTCTCTGGATGATCCCGCTTCCCCCCCTCTCCTACCGACTCCTACCTGCCCTGCCGTGAAGCTCCGGCTCAGTATCCAAAGTGATCCGAGGGCACCTTCCCCCTTTCCCCCACAATCACGGCAATCACGGCATCACCGTGTCGCCGCTTTATGCCGTACTGACGCAGCTGAGGTTCCGGTGTGTGCGCGACGAACGAAACGAACGAAACGACGCAACGCAGCTCCAGAATCGGCAGTCTAAAACGTAGTTGTGGAGCGGCACCGAACCCAACGAGGCGCCAACCTCCCCCCCGGCCCCACTTCTCACCGCCATGCATTTGGGGACAGCTGATCAGACGAGGTCGCGGGGGGGAAAAGGTGACTCCGAGCCGTACCACGTTCAAACAGGGCACGGGAAATACCTGGGGATGGCGTGTCCACAGGCGCACCTGGCGTTGCTTCCCACCTTGATTGCTAGAGAGCTGCAGGTCACCGAAATGTTACCAAGTCCATCAGCATCCATAAAAATTTTTAAAATGCTGTCATTCGTTTTCTCTCATCTATTCCGAACGGCCGCCCGCTCGTGCGCAATCGTTCGTTCCTTCGTTCGCCCGTGGCCCCCGGGACGTCCAAGATTCGGCGCCTTCACAACATCCCACACGAATTATCATAAGCTAATTCGTAAATTGGCACCGCAAATACCCCAAAAAAACGGTTGTAGTACCCGCATCAGCAATACATGCATCAGCATCATCAGCAATAGCGGCAGAAGCAGCTGCAGTAACGATAATAGCAGCAACAGCAGCAGCCCAGCCTGTAGCCCCAAGCAAATGTAGTCTCTCAACGCACCCACCCAGCCCCGATGTTCGCTAGGCAATGCGGTGCCAAACTAAACCTTCACACATGCGCGGGTGGGTGTGGCACTGCGAGTCCCCCCAAGCTAACTGATCGACATGGCGATATAGTCCTTTCCTTCCGCAACTCCCATGTCTCGGACGCGTAGTGCGCAGAACGATACGACGCCGCTGGTTTGCACGCCTGTCACCAATACAACGACAACAACGACGACAACGACAACAACGACGACAACGCTGGCGCAGCTATCAGCTGCGCGTGGGGCCAGGTGGCAGAAGTGCCACTTGTTGCTGGCAAAATTGTTGTTGGTAAAATTTCATGCGCCTAGGCTATTCTCCTGGAGGGAGGGAGGGAGAGAGGCTATGCAGTCCGGGTAAACCTGCGTGCTGATGCATCATCATTACCACCATCATCATCATCATCATCATCATTACCACCATCATCATCATCATCATTACCACCACCATCATCATCATCATCATCATCATCATCATCATCATCATCATCATCATCATCATCATCATCATCATCATCATCATCATCATCATCATCATCATCGTCAGCATCATCGTCAGCACCAACGTCATCATCAATCTGTGATGATAGATCCCCTCACGAACCTGTGGCCTCCCAAGACATGTCATGTGGTACATTCATGTACGGCATTCGTACTGTCTCCCTGGCTGGCATGTACAGAAAACTACGGGAAACAACAGCCGACGGGAGACAATTATTGACATACATACAGTTCGACGGACATTTGTGCGAGGCTACGGACAAACAAACAGGCAGACACGCCAGCAAACACAATTAAAAGCACATGGCGGCCCCTTTTCAGTTTCCCTGTTTGCTTGTGTTGGCAGGAGGGGCCCGCGTGTTGTTTGTGCGTGTGTATGTATGTGCGTGTTTTGCAATGATCAATGCTGCACTATGGAGCAATGCAATGACATGAACGGCACCAGGTAAGCGAGCCAGCACCAGAAATTAAAGCAACGCACAGCAGGCCACAAGGCGGGGCACCTGCCTTGCAAAAGCCCTTCAACGAGAACCACCAGCTCCTCTTTCTCCCTTTTCCCCCGTCCGAAAAAGCATAAGCCCCCCAAAAAACACAGCAGTTGAACACTTTTGGCACAGACGCACTACGGGATCCCCCCGACCCCCCCCGGGGGGGGAGAAAGATACTAACCCAGCATGAACACCATCACATATGCAACATATGCTGCATATACGTCAACAGATGTACGACACATGTGTTAACGTGTACGACACCACGTGTACCGCACGTAGTCTAGCAGGCCGGGCGTACTCCTGAACCGTACGATATATACACGTAATGTAGTCTACAAAAATAAGCTCGTAGCAGCTAGTAACCCTAGTCCGACCTTCTCCCCCTCAACATCACATCCCCCACACGTGCCGCCCCCCGAACCCATACCCTTCGAGTTAACCACTCGGTAATACTGGGTCAGGACTACCGTGCCTCATCTACTGAGTGTACGGCACGTGCTGTACGGAACCGTTTACGTGCATTATTCCGTTGGTTAACGGCTTCATTCCCATCCCGCCCCGTACCTACATCTATACTCCACCTTCGGAGATGCGAGCGCCGCAAGGCAACAAGGGCTCACCCAACCCGCTGACGCCCGTGTCGCACCCTGCGAGTGCGGCTGCAGCTGGGGCGGCAGCGGAGCCGCTCGCCTTTACCTCGGCCGCCGCACCGACGGCCATCGGCCACGACACGAGTGAAGTGAACGATCCTGCAGCCGGCTGCTGCAGCTGCGACGGCGGCAACCTAAGTAGGCTGTAGTTGATGTCCGTACCGCCATCACCGTCACCGTCACCATCGCCGTCGCTGTCGCCGTCACTGCCGGACCCCGTCCCAGGTCCTGGTGGTGACGATTTGGGTCGTAGCAATAAGGCCCCGGAGGACGAGGCCGCGGCTTGTTCCTCGTCGTCGGTCGACCTCCCGCCGGGGCTCCTGTGCGCCGCGGGTAGTGTACGGCGTGTAATGTACGGCATGTGATGTGCGGCGTGCGATATATAGCGGTGTGGTGTGGCAGCGCGGTTCACTAATTACCATTCATTACCATTAATTACTATTCATTACCATTAATTACCATTAATTACCATTAATTACCAGTAATTACCATTAATTACCATTAATTACCAGTAATTACCAGTAATTACCAGTAATTACCACTAATTACCACTAATTACCATTTGGTACGCAATGAGTGAGCCTCTACGACAAAAGGTGAGTTATGTCCTGCGGTTCCGTGCGGTTCAAAGTGACCTGTAATGAATGGGGGAGTGACGTTGCGACACCGGACATGTGGGCCTTGTGCGGCGTCTGGAGTCGTGTAGTCGTAGAGTCACGTGTAGTTGTGGGACACGTTACGCAGTGGGGGTGGGGGGGAGAGAGGCGCCTCTGACGTAGGCGGCTGGGGAGGTAAGGCAGCCGGCATGGGGCCACCCCCACCGCG